CTGTGTATCACTTCGGATTGGAATATTTATAAAGAGATGCATAAAGAGTCACCTCTGTTTTGAAAATATATAATTTTAGTCCCTCCAAACGAGAACACTTTTGCTTACAATTTGATAAACTTAAATCTGTAATGAGCTTGTCTTTGAATTGAACTTCATACTCCGGAATACCAGTATCCCTAATTTAATTGTAAGGCAGAGTATTATTTGTCTGAAATAAAAACCATTATTTCAGTACATATACAGTAGGGATGCCAAACGGGACTGGCTTTTACAAATCCCGGGATTCGGGATTTTGAAAATTGCAATCCCGGGATCCCGGGATATTTCGGGATCCCGGGATTTTTCGGGATCCCGGGATTTTTCGGGATTTCGGGATTTTACGGGATTTCGGGATTACATAAATTTAATTATTTTATACATGAAAATCTGAAATCTTCATGTTTGTGAAGAAAATTGTTTAATCTTGTGAAAATTAATCGACAGAAGATAAATTATTTATTTTTCATAAAAAATTTGTTGAATTTTACCTTAATTCCGATGTATTTAAGCAATTTATTGATGAAAAACTAAATTTCTAAAAGAGGCTTTATATGGGAGCTAGGGTCAAATATGGGCCGATCCTCAAACATTTGGGAAGAGGCATGTAATTTTATATAAAGGTTAGTTATGCTGAATGTCATCGCGATACTAATGGTTATAAGTAAATTTTTGGACGTTTAAGATATTTTTTAATGGGGGCTAATGTCAAACGACGACTCAGAAAGCGATTCTGATTCGATCGGTATACTTTAAGGTGGGTGTAGGACCAATAGATTATAATAAATATAACGTTCAATCCTTCGAATATCAGGTTAGATCATAAATGAACCTTTTCTTTGAAACATGTTATCTACATTCAGAACAATTTAATTTACCTTTACTGTTATCACTCAGATTTATAGAAAGCATTCCAGCAAAATTAAAACGAAGTACTTCCAAAAGTATACCATTTATCACCACTTTAAAAGTAGCACTAAGTGAATTTTTTAACCTTCTGAGGAAGTGATGTTTAAAGACTTCCGAAGATTGGAAAATAATTATATTTTTTCAAAGCTGAAGATATTTTTTTGTTCTTACATTCTTGGGAGATAAAACATTTTACTTTTCGGCTTCTGTTTTATTATATGTATCTATTACCCTTTATAGTTTTAAAACTATTTAAGGCAAATTAGTTGTATTCTATAATAATACAATTTCACTTTCGAATAACTTGCAAAAAATTATCATAAAAATTACTTCTTGAGAATGACTTCAGAAGTAGTAAATTTGGAATCAAATAAAAAGGACATCCCTCCTATGACAAGCCTGTGTTAAAATCATCACTTCTTCAGTTATTTTTCAGTACTTCCATGGAGTAAATTCTACTTCTTTTTCGCTTCTTTGGAAGTTCTTTTTTTGCTGGGTTGTAAAGCAAAACATTCTAGATATCATTTAAAAATTTATTTTATATTTGACTGTGCCGAAATAAAATAAATAAATATTCCGGTATGTGATGGAATTCGAACAATTTGAAATCAATAGATTTGAAAAGGTATGATTAATTTCAATCGAGGAATGGTTTATTATTTCAAAATACTACGCAGACAACAAAATACTTTCCATTTAAGAGAATCAATTTAAAAAATATGATAATTTGTATGAAAAGCCGCAGAAATTGAATATTACACAATTTTTGTATTATTTTTGTAGATTCAAATCGATTCTATTTTAAAAATGAATCTCATTAAATAGCTGATTGGTCAATACATTAATATTAGCATCAAATTGGTTTTCAGAGGAGGTGCTTTTAGGATTTCTTGTGTTAATTTTGGTCCAAATTTATGTCTACTATAGACAAAGAATGTGTATACTTTTTGGGTCTACGACGAAATGAAAAAATAAATTTGTATGTACTATATTTGGTATCATACCACTTTAAAAAATAAAAGGTTCAAAATGTACAAGAATAGCTGTGCTGAATAAGTCAAAAATAAACAAAGATCGTAATTTTGAAGCGAATTGAATGAAATTATGGCTCAAAAAAGAATTAAAAAAAATTTTTTAGTAATAAATCCCGGGATTCATTTTGAAAAATCCCGGGATTCGGGATATCCTAATCCCGAAAAAATCCCGGGATTTATTTTGCAAATCCCGGGATTCGGGATTTTCTAATCCCGAAAAATCCCGGGATTTTCGGGATCGGGATTTCGGGATTGGCATCCCTAATATACAGGAAATAAAAATTACAAATCACGCAATACTTTACTTTATAAAAGTTATACAATAAATTTGTAGGGCCTAGCTTCTTCCTGATAAACAACCGAAAAAATAAAATTCAAAAAGTCACCAAAAAATTTGGGATTATTGCACAAAAATTGGAGATATTTGTACATACATATAAAAGAATATTGTCTATTCATGTTTTTTTCGTTCGTCTTCGCGGACCCCCTAGGATTTTACTACGGACCACTAGGGGTCCGCGGACCCCCATTTGGGAACCGTTGCTTTAGAGGAATCTAAAGTTTGATCGTTTCTGAAAAAATTAATCTTTGGAACTTTTGGAAATTCTATCCATTTCAAAAGTTTCGGTTTAGGGCAACACTTCCACCCATATTCAACATATTCCAAAGTCTCAGGTTCTCGTTCAGTCTAATGTGGCATGAGTTGAATGGCACTCAACACCGTCCTATTGAAAACACATGCCACATCTTTAGCGCTCTCTGTTGATGGCCTGGTTAACGATAACGCCACCAGAGTAAAGCTTTTGTAACGATTTACATATGAAAAAAATAAACGTCTGATATTCAGAAACAATGTTTCCTAAAAGTAGTTCCTTAGAATTTTTCAATCAGTGTTCTTGAGGTATGTAATAACTTGAATACCCTCGCTCCAAAGATATTTAGTACTTATCTCGACGAAAACATAGCTATAACAGAGACATTTTATCACCGTTTCAATGTCCTCTCAGCATGCTCTGCAACCGGCAGTAGCCGTTGGTCCAACTCGGTATTGTTGTGCTTGGAAAACTCTGTGTATCCACTCAGAATGTGTGCCATCATACTTTCTTCGAACTTATTCATTCTGAGGAGTCTTATTGTCTTTGGGGCTACGCCAGAAGGGTGTATGGGTTTTTCTCGCGCAAGTTTAACTACTTCGACTTCCATTTCCTTTAAAGCATAAACTTTCATAGACGTCTATTTTTGACTGACCTGGTACCTATTGATATAGGCCTTACCTTTCACAGTCCAATACGGTCGTAGGTTGAAATAGGCTAAAAAGTCGTTTTTGGCCTGAATTGCATGGATTTTTCAGGATTGGGAAACCCCGAATCCATTTTTTTCGAAAACCCTTCATTCATAAAATTCTTCAAAATCAAAAGATCAAAAGATTCTAAGACGTACTAGAAATGTCAGGTTGTCTGTTGAAAATACTATTGGGCCAAAAGGGGATGTAATTTTGAAATCTGAAGAGGACCTCTTAGCTAATTAGTTAGTTAGTTAGTTAGTTAGTTAGTTAGTTAGTTAGTTATGTAGTTAGTTAGTTAGTTAGTTAGTTAGTTAGTTAGTTAGTTAGTTAGTTAGTTAGTTAGTTAGTTAGTTAGTTAGTTAGTTAGTTAGTTAGTTAGTTAGTTAGTTAGTTAGTTAGTTAGTTAGTAGTTAGTTAGTTAGTTAGTTAGTTAGTTAGTTAGTTAGTTAGTAGTTAGTTAGTTAGTTAGTTAGTAGTTAGTTAGTTAGTTAGTTAGTTAGTTAGTTAGTAGTAGTTAGTTAGTTAGTTAGTTAGTTAGTTAGTTAGTTAGTTAGTTAGTTAGTTAGTTAGTAGTTAGTTAGTTAGTTAGTTAGTTAGTTAGTTAGTTAGTTAGTTAGTTAGTAGTTAGTTAGTTAGTTAGTTAGTTAGTTAGTTAGTTAGTTAGTTAGTTAGTTAGTTAGTTAGTTATTTGCTTAGTTAGTTAGTTATTTAGTTAGAGTTAGTTAGTTAGTTAGTTTAGTTAGTTAGTTAGTTAGTTATTTATTTAGTTAGTTAGTTAGTTAGTTAGTTATTAGTTAGTTAGTTAGTTAGTTAGTTCGTTAGTTAGCTTAGTTAGTTAGTTAGTTAGTTAGTTAGTTAGTTAGTAGTTCGTTAGTTAGTTACGTTTTAGTTAGTTAGTTAGTTCGTTAGTAGTTAGTTAGTTAGTTTCGTAGTTAGGTTAGTTAGTTAGTTAGTTAGGTTAGTTAGTTAGTTAGTTAGTTAGTTAGTTAGTTATTAGTTAGTTAGTTAGTTAGTTAGTAGTTAGTTAGTTAGTTAGTTAGTTAGTTAGTTAGTTAGTAGTTAGTTAGTTGTTTTGTTTGTTTGTTTAAAAAAACGCAAATACCGTGATAAAACCCGCTACTGTAGCTATCACTGTTTGTTTAAGTACTATTATTTGCTAGTACTTTTGCTAGTAATCTCTGGGGAGTGCAAGTCTTATGAGATTCACTAGAAAAAAGCGCCAAAACTAAAACTACGGTAAAAGGAAAAGAAAATACCAGAAAATAAGATAAAAAACATTTAACTAAACTGGTTTGAAAATACAGAAAAAACTATACCCAGAATACGGGCAATAAAAAATTACTTTGATATTTTTTTTGTCCATTTGTTTTTGTTTTGCCTTAACATAACGGTAAAAAAGTAGCAAGCAAACAGCTGATTTTACAAGTATTTGCTATACTGGTGTTAGTGTTATATTACAAAAAGCTCTCTGAGAGAGCTTAGCAAAAAAACAAAGAGTGCAGCAAGCACATGAAAAAGTAACAGTACTAACAAGAAGAGGAAAACACAACAAAAACGATCTTCGCGTCATTACATTAACGTTGTCTACGTCATTTTTATTTCTTTTAGGTTTTTAGTTTTGTTGGTCTTTTTCTTAGTGTGTTTTTTTTGATATTTCGGTTGTGTTTTTTTTTGCTTTTTCTTGTGTTTTTTTTTTGTTTTTGGGGACGCCTTCAAAGTTTTATTTTACACTTTAGCCAGAGCAGCCAACAAAAAAGAAGGCATAATTCATTCATACATTGATAGTCCAACATTGCGGTACAACATTACGGTTAACGAAAACATTTGCTGTAATTTAAACTTACAACAACTAAGAAATAATACAGAAGAAATAAAGTACTTTAGAAAAGGTACTACTACTTCTTTTACTACTCGTATTTTTACAACGCTCGCGTTCCAGCTTTGAGTACATACGTCGGTCGCGTCTTACGTAGAGTAGTTAATAGTTATGGGCCAAAGCTAAACGGATGCGGACGCGCACTTCTTGTAAAAAATTTGACTTAAGCAAAAAAAAAAAAAAAATCATAAAGAAGAAGAAAATTTATACGAAAAGCAACTAAAAAGACGAAAATAATATAAAATCTGTTGCATCACTTGTGAAACACTTCAGTCGTATTAAGACGTTTAAACAAAAAACAAAAATTAAATTAAAATAAATAAAAAATATAAAGAAAATTAAATAAAAATACAATTTGTTTTTATAGTGACTATTATTTAAAAAAAAAGAAAATAAATAAAAAGTTTTGATTTTATTAAAAAAAAAAATAAGATTGACGAGTTTTTTTAAATTTAAACTTTTATTTTGCTTTAATTAAGTAACGGGAAACGGAAGTTTTTTTTTAAAGCGGATATAAGGAGATTTTTTTAAAAAACAAGTGTGTATTTTTTAAAAAAATTAAATAAAATTTTAAAAAATTAAATTTTTAAAAATTTAAAAAAAACTGTGAACTTTAAAAAAAATTTATAATTTTAAATAAAAAAACTGTGAATTTGAAAAAACTGAAAAGTGTTATTTATTAAAAAAATATATAAAATTTTGAACTTTTTAAAGTTTTTATAAAAACATTAAATTTTTTTTAAAATTTTGTGAAAAAATTGAAACTTTTTATTTTAAAAAAAATTTATAAAAAATTAAAATTATTTATTAAAAAAGTTTAGAAAATATTTTTTTTATTAAAATATTGAAAAAATAATAAAGTTTTGTTTAAAAAAATTAAAAAACTTTTAAAAATTTTTATTAAAATTTAAAAAAAAAATTAAAAACTGGAAAATTTTAATAAAATCTATGAAAAATGGTGAAAGTTTTACAACAAAATTAAAAAAAATAAATAAAATTTAAATATTTCAATCAAAATTTGAAACATTTTTACAAAAAAACTTGCAAATAATCGAAAATTTTTTAAGAATTTCTAACAAATATTAAAAATTAATACAAAAACAATTTGTGAAAAGAAAATTATTTGAAAATATTTTCTAAAAATTTCAAACCGGGAATTAAGGAAATAAACTAAAAAAATTTCCAAAAACTTTTATAACAAAATATAAAAAAAAACTAAAATTTATAAAAATGTGAAAACAATTTTTTAAAAAATATCAATACCACAACATTTTTATTAAAAAGTGAACAAAATAAAAGTTTAAATTCAACAAATTTAAAAAAATAAAACGTTTTATATAAAACGTTTGTAATAAAATTCTTAAAAAGTTTTTATAAAAATACAATTTAAACAAAAAATTTAATAAAAATTCTATAAAACTATTAAAAATTTTTAAAGATTTTAATATTTTAATAAAAAACTCTTAAAAACTATAATTTAAACAAAACTCAAAACAAAAACTTAAAGAAAAATTCTTTAAACAAAAAACAAAACTTTCAATATTTTAATAAAAATTTCTCAAATACTGTAATTTAAAGAAAACTCAAACCAAAAACTTAAAGAAAAATTATTTAAAAACAAAAAATGTTAAAAAACTTTAAAAAATTATTAAAAAACTTTAAAAAATTTCAAAATTTTTAAGAAAAATTCTTAAAAACCTTTTGTTTAAACAAAAACTTTAAAATTTTTCAAAATTTTAAAGAAAAATTCTTTAAGAACTCTTAATTAAACAAAAAACCAACAAAAACTTTATAAAATGATTAAAAACCTTTAAAATTTTTCAAAATTTCAAAGAAAAATTTTTTAAAAACTCTTAATTAAACAACAAGCAAACAAAAACTTTATAAAAATCAATAAAAAGTTCAAAATTTTAAGAAAACTTGTCAAAAAACTCCTATTTATATAAAAAAATTGTTCAAACAAAAAGTGTTTTTATCCATAATAGTTTTAGATCAACAAAATCTATTTAAAATTGTTAATTTTTGTATAAATTAATAATTTTAAATAAATTTTATTATAAATATTAACAATTTTCTATAAAATTTAGCATCGTCCTAAAAAAATCAACATAAGTTATAAAAGAAAGACTTTTAATAACACAACCCAACAGCTGATTAAGCAAAAACAAGCAACAAGTGTTTGTAAACAAAACAAAAACTGTCAAGAAAACCTAAACAAAGTTAAAGCAACAAAAATAATCCCCAACAAAACAATAGCAAGGATATTGAAACAAACAAAAAAGCAACAATAACGTTAGAAAAAAAGTAAACAAACTATTTGTATACAACAACAACAACTACCACAGAAAAAAATTACCCAAATATAAAGGAAATTTCAAAACAACAACAACAACAGGATATTCACTGCACCATAACAAACCAAAACAAAAGTTTGTTTACATTTTTGTTTTTGCCTCGAGAAAACAATAACAAACAAGTAAATCTTAAAAATTTAGCATCCAGAAGTAAAAATTATAAGAAAATTATATACCAAATGATCTCTTTATGATCCTTTTATATAATATAGACTATAAATATTTCTCTTTTATTTAAAATGGTTTAAAGGAAACCATTTTCGCAAGGAAATATTACAAAAATATAAATAAAAAAAAGAAAATCTTAAATTTTTTCTTCTGCTTAGTTCAAACATTACAACAACATTAAAAACTCCGTCAAAATTTTGCCTTCATTTTCACAATTAAAAATGCTCAACATGGAATCACCACAAATGTACGATACCGTACAAACTCTAACACAATTGGATTTGAAAAAGCAGCCGCCTCCTCAACAGGCCATTATTGGTCAGATAACCCTAACGGCCATGTCCTCGCAACAGCAGCAGCAACAACAACAACAGCAACAGAATGGCCAGCAACAACAACAACAACAGCAGCAGCAACAAAATGACAATAACAATAATAATACGCAACAGCAACAACAACAGGTTAATGGTGTGGGTGTGGTAGGTGCTGTAGGTGCCGGTTTGGTGGTTAAACAACATGCCATGCATCAAATGCATCAGGCCGCTGCCATGAATAACAACAACAATAACAATTCCGTATTGAATGCAAATGTTAATAATGTCAACTTATTGCAGAAACAAATCATGCAACAGTATACCCAATCCGATTTAGATGAATTGACCGCCCAAGAGATCTCATTAGACTTGCAACATTTAATCGATGATAGTTTTCGTGATCAGGAAACTTTGGGTATATTCAGTGATATGGTTACCAGTCCGGGTGTATTGTCAGCTACTTTACCACCTAATGGCATGGTAACGGCAGCTGCCAAAGTCTTACAACAACACCAACTACAGCAACAATCATTGCGCACACAACAACATCAATACGGACGCAATCCTTTGGCCTATATGCCTCAGGCAGTGCACTCGAATGCCTCCTATAGCAACAATTCCAGTGATGAAAACTCCTCAGTGGGTTCGGATACCTCGACCATTAAAGAAGAACCCATAGATCCGGAATACCGGCGTCATTTGCAGGAGACCAATGCCGCCAATAATGCCGCAGCTGCCGCCTTTATAAGCAACGGCTCTGCCAATGGTCTCTATAATCCCTATCAGAATGCCAACGGCAATGGCAATTCCAATAATTCTTCCTCACAAAACTCCAACAATTTCAATACTCTTACCTCGGCCAATGTTTTGGCCCATCATTCTGCCGTTAATTTGCCTCATCTAGCCGCCGGTGCCCATCTGCTTAAGCATCATAACAAACAGGTGCATCAACAGCGCAAACAATCACTCAAACATGTAGACAAAGGCACCGAGGAGTATCGTCGTCGTCGTGAACGCAACAATATAGCTGTGCGCAAATCCCGGGAGAAAGCCAAGGTACGCTCGCGTGAGGTAGAGGAACGTGTTAAAAGTTTACTCAAGGAAAAAGATGCTCTTCTGCGACAACTGCAGGAAATGACCAATGAACTGCAGCTGCACAAACAGATCTACATGCAGCTCATCAATCACAATAATCCCGAAGTGAGTCGTGTCTGTCGAAGTTTTCTCAATACCAACGATCATGGTTTGTAAGTTTGTTTTCCAGCGATCATGTTGTATCAGGATGAGACTGTATATTTTTATTATTATTATTTCTTCTTCTTTTTGTTTATTGTAATATTATTCTTATTCTTTCTATTCTTCTTTTTTGTTTGTTTCTTTAATGCTATAGTTTAAATTATAGAGGGAACTGTCCTTAATCTCGTTGCAATAATTATTATTAATTTTATATTAAATAATTAAATAAATTAGTTTAAGTTTAAATACCACAAAAAAAAAAAAAGCGGGCGGGTTTTTTAATTTTTTAAAAAAATAAGTTCATTTCATTCATTTTTAATAAATTTAACAAAATTTTGTTCACATTTTATGTAAAAAAGCAGAGGCATTCCTACCTCCTTTAACAAATTGTCCTCAATAAGTTGAGCTTTTTACCAGAGAGAATAAGAAAACTTTTCATCAAGCTTTCGAAAACTTAACGTGTTAGCTTAAAAGGGAGCGATATGAGATATGAGAATAAAAAAGAAGACAATGATCCTGTTTAACAGTTGAGCTTTTTATAAGCTTTTAAAAACATTAATGTTTGGCGTAAAGAGAGAGTAACATAACGATCCTGTTTAACATAACGCGCTTCAAGAGAAAACTTTTCTCTTGAAACTTGGTCTTCTTTTAAAGTTTTCGAAAGCTAAATGTTTTAGCTTAAAAGAGAGCGATAATGAGAATAAGAAAGAAGACAATAGTCCTGTTGAACAGTTGAGCTTTTTTTAGGCTTTTAAAAGCATTAATGTTTGGCGTAAAAGAGAGAGTAACTTAACGATTGAGCTTTTTGTGAGATTTCTAAAGCATAAAGCTATGGCTTAAAAGAGAGAGAAAAATAGTGAATAAAGTTAATGATGCTGTTAAATATTTCGAACTTTTGAGCTTTTTAAAGCTTTCAAAAGCAAAAGGAGGTTAAGTTTTAGAGAGACAACGTTTGGGTTTATCATTTAAGTTTTTTTTTAAATTATAAAGATTGAGCTTAAAAATAGGGAAAATGCAAGCGAGAAGAAGATAACGACCTTATTTAATATTTAAAGTTTTTTAAGCTTTTTAAAGCATAAAAGAAAGAACGAGTTCAGAAACACTTTTCCTGTTATATTCTGCAAATAAAAGTGAATTGATTTTTAATGAAAGCTTAACAAATTATTGTTCAAAACTTATATTAGGATAAAGCTTAAAGCTGCCGGAACAGTTTAACAGAAATGTTCGCAAAATAAAGCTTTATACTTCAAGTCTTCTTATAGTGAGAGTGAAAAAGTTAAAGATCCTGTTTAATATTTCAAATTTTTGAACTTTTTAAAGCATTCAAAAGCAAAAAGTTTAAATTTTAAAGCATAATGGTTGACTTTAAAATTTTTTAATATTTAAAGCTTTTTAAGCTTTTAAAAGCATAAATGAAAGAACGAATTCAGGAGCACTTTTCCTATTATATTCTGGTTTTTAACGAAAGCTTATCAAATTATTGTTCAAAACTTAAGTAATGATAAAGCTTAAAGCTGCCCGAAAAGTTTTATAGAAATATCCGAAAAGTAAAGCTTCAAGCTTTAAATCTTCTTATAGTTAAAAAACGTTTGATCTTAAGTTTCAAAAGCTTAAAACAAACCATTAGCAGAAGCTTTATAAACTATTATAATAACTTAATTAATAATAAGCTTTCAAAGGCATATATGTTTAGTTTAAATGAACGAGCGAGATCAAAAGCTTATCAAACTATTGTTCAAAACTTAAGTAATGATAAAGCTTAAAGCTACCAAAAAAGTTCAACGGAAATGTTCGCAAAATAAAGCTTTAAGCTTCAAGTCTTCTTATACATTGTTAAAAGTAATCAAAAGTTTAAAACAAACTAAGGGAAAGAGGACGCTTAGCGGAAGCTTAATAGACTGTAATAATAGCTCAATTAATAATAAACTTAAAGCTACGAATATGTTAAAATACATAATGGAGACAAAGCTTTAGGCATAAAGCTTCTCTTCATGCTTTCTTACAGATAAAAACAGAGGAAAATTCAAGGCAAAGATTTATAATAAAGCTTAAAGTTGCCAAAAAGTTTTATTAAAGCCTCCTTAAAACAAAGCTTTCAACTTGAACTTTCTCTTGAATCTTTCTTATACAAGAAACCAAGGTGGAATACAAGACAAATCAAGTAAAATCGATCCTTTTTTGTTTTCCTTTATCTTTGAACTCAATAGCTTAAAGCTGTCAAAAAGTTTTAATTAAAATCTCTCTAAAACAAAGCTTTTAGCTTTGTTATAGTTGTTCCTTTCTTTTACAAACTTTCTTTTAAGTTAAAAAGCTTTCGTTTATATTCTATTGTTCGTTGGTTTTTCAAGTCCGTAATTTCTCACCTGAATAGAGAAAATCAAACCAAATAGAAAGCTCATTTTTATACTCTCTGCCCATAACTGGTTTATTAAACAAATCCCACTTTTTATAACCTCACTTTTGTCTAAACAATTTCCGTTACTGTACTTAAAACCTCAAATCATTTGTACATTTTTCTTAAACAAAAATATATATATTTTTTTTAGTTTTTAAGTTTTAAATAAATTTAAATATCATATTTTGTATTTAATATTTATAACAACAAAAACAATTAATTTTATATTATATAAATTATATAGAAAATTATTAATTAATGTAAGATAAGCCAAAGAAAAAAAAAAATAAAACAACAACAATTTACATATTTACAAGAAAAACTTATAAATATTTATATTCAAAAAAATATAATAAAAAAAGAAAACAAAACATTTTTTAGCAAATTACTTATAAAATAATTAAAATTTAAAAAAAAAAAAATGTTTAAAATTTTCTAAAAGCATAAAACTAAATTTATTAAAAAACATATATTTTTGAGATATTAAAACAAAATTTTTTTCGAACTAATATGAAAATTAAAAAAAAAAACAAAATTTTTTATGCAAACTATAACTATTTATTTAAAATACAATTTTAAACAAAATTTTGCAATACAATTAAATTTAAAAAAAAAATTATTTAAAACAAAACTATTATACAAACATTTTTTTAATAAAATACACCAATAAATGCTTAAAAATGGAGGGAAAAAATTTTAAAGTTTTGGAAGTTTCTTTTTCTTAAACAAACTTTTTGGCACAATTTTCAATTTTTCAAATTTTCTTTTTTCAAATTTTAGTTTAGGTTCGATTAGATTAAAATTAAAGAAAATGGCATCAATCACCAATCGTTGTGGGACTGACTTTCTCTATGTTAAATGTTAGGGTCTTAACGTCCATCAGATTTTCATTGAATGTCAATCAGACAATAGACTGTTCTACAGGTCAGACTATAGACTGTTCTACATGCCAAACTATATACTGTTCTACTGACCGGATTATAGACTATTCTATGGTCCAGACTATAGACTGTTCTACAGTCCAGACTATAGACTCTTCTATAGTCCATACTATAGACCAACGGTTCCCAAATGGGGGTCCGCGGACCCCTAGTGGTCCGTAGTAAAATCCTAGGGGGTCCGCGAAGACGAACGAAAAAAACCATGAATAAACAATATTCTGCTTTTATATGTATGTACAAATATATCCAATTTTTGTGCAATAATCCCAAATTTTTTGGTGACTTTTTGAATTTTATTTTTTCGGTTGTTTATCAGGAAGAAGCTAGGCCCTACAAATTTATTGTATAACTTTTATAAAGTAAAGTACTGCGTGATTTGTAATTTTTATTTCCTGTATATGTACTGAAATAATGGTTTTTATTTCAGACAAATAATACTCTGCCTTACAATTAAATTAGGGATACTGGTATTCCGGAGTATGAAGTTCAATTCAAATACAAGCTTATTACAGATTTAAGTTTATCAAATTGTAAGCAAAAGTGTTCTCGTTTGAAAGGACAACAATTATATATTTCCAAAACAGAGGTGACTCTTTATGCATCTCTTTATAAATATTACAATCCGACGTGATACACAGATTTTAACTTGATTTTGTCGACCAATACATATTATTAAATTAACATCAGAAAATCCATAGCGTTTCGCGTAAATATGTAGCCAAAAACCATGAAGTAAAATAATTCGTTGGTATTTTAAAATTCAAATTTAAGTTCCAAATTCACACTACTTATATAACGCATTCCGCAACAACATAGAAGAAGTCCAACTTTCTTATATTATTTTCCCGAAAACTTAGCTCACTTACTCAGTTCACCCTTTGCAATCGCAACAAATTTTTGAAACGTGACTCCTTAAGCACATGTGACAATATTTGATAAAGAAACCTTTTCGCTACCTTGAAGAAAAATGAACATGAAAGATCTCACGATCATAAAATTAAACATCATGTTAACATATCAACAAAGAAGTCATTCTATCTTCAAAACATGCAATTGAAAACCTATCTGAAATATTATATATTCTCAATGTACGGGAAAAAAAATATGTATGGGGGTCCGCGAAATTAAATAAGCTCTTCAAGAGGTCCGCGAAGTAAAAATCTGTGGGAACCGCTGCTATAGACTCTTCTATAGTCCAGACTATAGACTCTTCTATAATCCAGACTATAGACTCTTTATAGTACAGACTATAGACTGTTCTATAGTCCCGACTATAGACTCTTTATAGTACAGACTATAGACTGTTCTATAGTCCCGACTATAGACTGTTCTATAGTCCCGACTATAGACTATTCTATAGTCCCGGCTATAGACTATTCTATGGTCTAGACTATAGACTATTCTATAGTCCAGACTATAGACTATTCTATAGTCCAGACTATAGACTATTCTATAGCCCAGGCTATAGACTATTCTATAGCCCAGGCTATAGACTATTCTATAGTCCAGACCATAGACTGTTCTATAGTTAAGACTATAGACTGTTCTATAGTCCAGACTATACACTGTGCTATACCCAGACTATAGCCTGTTCTATAGTACAGACTATAGACTATTCTATAGTCCAGACTTTGGACTATTCTATAGTCCAGACTTTAGACTATTCTATAGTCCAGACTATAGACTTTTCTATAGTCCAGACTATAGACTATTCTATAATCCAGACTATAGACTGTTCAATAGTCAAGATAATAGACTATTCTATAGTCTAGACTATTCTATAGTTCAGACTATAGACTATTCTATAGTCCAGACTATAGACTATTCTATAGGCCAGACTATAGACTATTCTATAGGCCAGACTATAGACTATTCTATAGGCCAGACTATAGACTATTCTATAGGCCAGACTATAGACTATTCTATAGGCCAGACTATAGACTATTCTATAGGCCAGACTATAGACTATTCTATAGGCCAGACTATAGACTATTCTATAGGCCAGACTATAGACTATTCTATAGGCCAGACTATAGACTATTCTATAGGCCAGACTTTAGACTATTCTATAGTCCAGACTTTAGACTATTCTATAGTCCAGACTATAGACTTTTCTATAGTCCAGACTATAGACTATTCTATAATCCAGACTATAGACTGTTCAATAGTCAAGATAATAGACTATTCTATAGTCTAGACTATTCTATAGTTCAGACTATAGACTATTCTATAGTCCAGACTATAGACTATTCTATAGGCCAGACTATAGACTATTCTATAGGCTAGACTATAGACTATTCTATAGGCCAGACTATAGACTATTCTATAGGCCAGACTATAGACTATTCTATAGGCCAGACTATAGACTATTCTATAGTCCAAACTATAGACTATTCTATAGCCCAGGCTATAGACTATTCTATAGCCCAGGCTATAGACTATTCTATAGTCCAGACCATAGACTGTTCTATAGTACAGACTATAGACTATTCTATAGTCCAGACTTTAGACTATTCTATAGTCCAGACTTTAGACTATTCTATAGTCCAGAATATAGACTTTTCTATAGTCCAGACTATAGACTATTCTATAATCCAGACTATAGACTGTTCAATAGTCAAGATAATAGACTATTCTATAGTCTAGACTATTCTATAATCTAGACTATTCTATAGTCAGACTATTCTATAGTTCAGACTATAGACTATTCTATAGTCCAGACTATAGACTATTCTATAGGCCAGACTATAGACTATTCTATAGGCCAGACTATAGACTATTCTATAGGCCAGACTATAGACTATTCTATAGGCCAGACTATAGACTATTCTATAGGCCAGACTATAGACTATTCTATAGGCCAGACTATAGACTATTCTATAGGCCAGACTATAGACTATTCTATAGGCCAGACTATAGACTATTCTATAGGCCAGACTACAGACTATTCTATAGGCCAGACTACAGACTATTCTATAGGCCAGACTATAGACTATTCTATAGGCCAGACTATAGACTATTCTATAGGCCAGACTATAGACTATTCTATAGGCCAGACTATAGACTATTCTATAGGCCAGACTATAGACTATTCTATAGGCCAGACTATAGACTATTCTATAGGCCAGACTATAGACTATTCTATAGGCCAGACTATAGACTATTCTATAGGCCAGACTATAGACTATTCTATAGGCCAGACTATAGACTATTCTATAGGCCAGACTATAGACTATTCTATAGGCCAGACTATAGACTATTCTATAGGCCAGACTATAGACTATTCTATAGGCCATAGTATAGACTATTCTATAGGCCAGATTATAGACTATTCTATAGTCCAGATTATAGACTATAGACAATTCTATAGTCGAGACTATAGACTATTCTGTAGTCCAGCCTATAGACTATTCTGTAGTCCAGCCTATAGACTATTCTATGGACCAGACTATAGACTATCCTATAGTCCAGACTATAGACTATTCTGTAGTCCAGCCTATAGACTATTCTGTAGTCCAGCCAATAGACTATTCTATGGACCAGACTATAGACTATCCTATAGTCC